GAGTGAATTTAATTAACCTGTTTTAAGAAGCAACACTTATTACTAACATTGTTTCATTCATTTAGACACATATACATAAAGATTACAACTATTTGGTATTATAAAATTCATATTTTTGCATCATCTGGCTTATTTCTGAGCTATGCGAAAGAACACAAGAAATTAACTGAAAATCTGAAAATCAACAGGTCTGACAGGGAAATGAATCCTCCCAAGAGTCCAAACGTCAACATCACTGATGCAGCCTTGGATCATCTTGATAGAGAATGGGACAAATGGGAGCCAATAACCAAAGAAAAGCTTCGGGATGTCCATCAGGACAGCCCGTCGAAGCATTCCCATTCGTCCTGTCACTTCTCCGTGAATCACTGTGCTTAATTTGTGCTTTTCTGACTCTAAATAAGGAAATAAAGGGTGAGTCAAGGCTTTACTTTTGCACAGCACAGCGGATACTTCCATCCATCAGCTTCCAAACCAGCAGCCCTCAATTCAGGCCGCCACAGATGTGACCCTGTGGCCATTAGGGGGCGCTGCTATGGAGCCATGTCAGGAAACCACCAGCTGGGGGGGGTTATGCTAATTCTTCAATTACCTGCTACTCACACTGTGGCCTTGTTCACACACTGTGTAAAAAAACCTATTAGCCACAATATGTACATTCATTAGCGGCCATATGTATTAAGTAAATAAGTAAAGTGCTGACCGGTTAGGGGGCCGAGGGGGGGGGGGGGGGGAGGAGTGAAGAATATGGCCGAGAAACTACAGAAAGGGGAAATGAATTCCAAATGAATGAGTGGCTTGTTGATGTGTGTGTTATTATGTGGCTGTTTGTGGCTGCATCTTGCGAGGTCGTGCGCGTGAATGTGAATGAGGCAGAGCTGGGCTGAGTCAGAGCCACAGAGGGGGGGGGGGCCCAGACAGAGCTCTGGGCTGGGGGAGGCTGAGGCCAAACGGGGGGCGAGGAGGGGTCTGTGTGTGCCTCCCACCTCATTTTCAGCTCCTAAACGTAGCCGGCGAATGCTGAAATGTGTGTCAGAGGCCGAGAAACGAAATGAGAGGAGAGGAGGGGGAGGAAAGGGGGGGTAATGGCAGCAGATAGAGGACGGGGAGGAATTACTGGGGGGTGTCTGTTGGACGGTGCTCCACCACCGTCCTCTACCCGCTCTCTCAGGCTCCCACCCACCTCCCACCTGACACATCCTTCTGAAGGGAAAAAAAAAAAATGAACACTGATTTCCTCTCCTTTCCCCAGACAGATGCCTCTGTTTAGCTCTTTTCCTTCATCCTCTGCAGTTTAAACACAGCGAGCGGTGAGGTCAAGTGTTTTATATCGAACGGGCGCTCCTCTCTACATCTCTCTGCAGTTTATCGTCGGATGTGTAGGTCTGCATTCGCACTCCCGCTTATCCCTGCCTGTACGCGCACCCGTGTGTGTGTGTGTGTGTGTGTGTGTGAGGGGGAGAGAGAGAGGACGTGTCTCATAGATCAGCAGTTAAAGAGATTCAGCCCACAGTGGCGAGATAGCCATCGAGGTCACGGCCGACTCTCTGGAAACACAAATTGTTCTGCTCAGATATCCTTCCCCCCCCTCTGGAGGCACATATCATCTCCCCCCCGGTCTGTAGTCCACGGTCTGTGAAAGCTGTCTGTCAGGAATAACAATAAAAACGGAGCCTAAGTGAAAACCGAAAAGGATTTTTTTTTATTTTCCAAATTCAAAACATACTTTGCACTTGATTAAACAGCGGGAAAAATAGATCCTCCAGCTGCTGGTAAATGTTAAGTGTGTGTTCCACTTTCCTTAAAAACCTCCTAACTGGATCCACATGTAACCTGCCATTCTCCCCCTTTCACTTTCATTTCACACGTGGCAGCGGACCTGTCCAAATCTCTTTCTCTGCCCGTCTCGGATCCTTTGTGGAGGGATTAGAGCAGCACAACACCGCATGAAGGAGGCTAAATACTAATTGTGTGTTTTATATCGCGTCTCGGAGAATGCTGCGGTTAAATCCAGTGGGAGGAATCTTGTGGGTGGGAGATGTTTGCTGTATCTGTTTACTGTACACGCTGTGTTCCAGCTTGTTTCATCAGTTGCCAGCACGCTGCTGAATTGATCGATTTAGCTAACCCCCTTTTCCTCTTCTTCAGTCTTTTTTTTGCCATTCTGTTTCCACAACCTGTCAGTTGTCTTTCTTTTTTAATAAAAGGAATTTACCTATTTTTAATTCGCTATTTTTCAATGTACCTCTCTATTTGGATGGTTATTTCTACCTCCGGGTCTATAGCTGTGCTATGAAGCTGTCAGTGGTTTTGGAGCTCTGCGTCTTCCTCCTTGTCTATTTGCACATCTCGCACATGGTTCCCTCTCGCTCTTATTTCCTTGTTAAACTGCATTCTCTGCTGTCACTTTCTCACAGGAAACCTTTTAAACACTCCTCTCCCATCTCCTCTCTCCCTCTCCATCCTCGTATCAGGGTCATTGCCTTCAATTTCTCTCTTTTTGCATCTCCTGCACTTTCCAAGTCCTCTCTGTACCCGTGTCTGCCTGTCTTCAAAGAGGCTCCAACAGGGCCTGGAAATCCTGCTTTACATGCCACCCCGGAGGCGTGGATTGTTTTTAATGAGACCACCTGTGTACTCACGTACTCATGGGTAAATATACACAGTATACTTTTTGTGCAAATAATTATAATGTTGAAGGATTTAGTAAAACCTGGTGGCCTTGATTAAAAAAAAAGGGTATCTCTCCATCCAGAATGGCAATGCAGGTGTTTATTGGTCATGGACTCTGCAGACTTTAACCTCTCATGGATGAAAAAAATATATAATAAAAACCTAGCATACAGATAAACAAACAAACTCCATGTCGTTATTAACATGTGCTGGTAAAATGTCTCCTCTGAATCAGGAAGGGTTTTTTTAAAGGATCTGCTCTGTTTTAATGCTGCACCTTTTGAAGATCCATCCCTTTGTGGTTGTCACTTGAAAGATGTCACCATGGACCAGGAGACAGCCTTCTTTTTTTTATCCTATCCTTTGAAACTATGGAAATAATCAGCCGCAGCTCCATCTCACCAGAAAAAAAAAAATGATGCAACAGATAGTCCTCAAGTTGTCCAAAGGCTGTATGTTTTGAGATCTGCCTCTTCCCAATTATCAACCATCAGAAATAAAGCCTGCCCTTCCAAAACTCCATCGATCATTATGCTGGCTTTAGTGGCCTTTTATCAAATAACCAATGTGACTAACGTTCTGGATTCAATTTGACTTTAACAATCTAAAGATGAAATAATACAATTGTCCTTCTCTACAATGTCAACTTGGCTTGCCACTAAAGTGAGAAGCAGAGTCTCACGAAAATACCCTCACCGTCAAGAAGGCTTTCATGCACACATATGCGGCCCATCGTTGTCATTTCAGGAGAGGTTTCAGGAACGACTGACTGAGCCGGAGCCGAGACACTGACAGGTGCGTCCTGAGCAGAGAGGAAGCTTCACGCTGAGCAAAGCACCGAAAACTGTCTGAATAACATTCCCCTGTTAAGCAACAGTTTCCACCGTTCGTTTCGGGTCACGAGAGCATTTTTATGGGTGCTTGTGTTTTGACATATTCAAATAAAATTCATTCTAACTTTTTTTTTTTGTCTTTTTTGGTGGGGAGTGGAAGCCTCATTACCCACTCTGATGAGGATGACACAGACACAGAGAGATTCTCCATTTTGGATGCACTGTGTTTTAGATATATATTTTAGATGGAATGGAAAACCCATCGTGGCTCATAGCATGAGTGAAACCACTAAAAACCACTTTTGGAAAAGATCAGGTCTTTATGGCGGAGGATTGAGATAGAAACGTCTGACTGATCTGAGCGTGATCAGATCGTGTGGGTGTGATCTCGTGTGATAAGTATTGACAGTGATCAGTAGACCATGTGGTGCACACAGCCACACACTCTCTGTGACTGACACCCCACAGATCACAGAAACAGCTGGCACCATTAGAGGAGACAAAACGTGCGCTTATACCAAAGCACCAGAGACACATCAGAAGAGCTCATTTGAAAAGAGTGTCATATCTCAAACTAGTTTCACACAACGGGCCTTTCCTTTCGCTAAGCGCGTATCACATGTTAGCACATGGGACCCCCCCCCCGCGCCCGAACAGACATATGCACTTTAACTGTGGCTTTCAACCGGGTGTCAGCACTCATCACCCCTGCCGTGCTCACATATCTTCATAAGAATGTGATTATTGGGGATGGCAGGCAGCTTAGGGGGCATTGCCGTTTGAAATTGAAATAATCCAGTATTACACTAAAGGGATCTATTAGCCAGCTGTACTGAGAATGGAAAGGCAGAGCCTCACTCATCCCTCCGTGCGTCCAAACACAGCCAACAGTCCAGCGGCTCAGCACTGGTCAAAATGCACAAATCAGCCACTCCAGACATTTTTCAACACGTTTTTCGTACAGATGTTTGATTATGTTTGCTGCAAACAGATGGATGACGGCGATAAGCCAAAAGGGGATGCTGACTCACAGCGAGTAATTCAAGTAAGACTTTTGTTTGTCAGGAGCCCATCAAAACACTCATCTGATTGGAGTCAGATAGAGATAAAAAAGGTAGGATGAATACAGATTAGCTGATTCCAAATCCTCCGAAGAGGCAGCTAATTGATGAACTGTGAAGAATCTTATTGGCTCGTGCGGATCTCCTCTGTTTTTCCAGGTAATTCCGCGTTAATGGGCTTAGACAACATGTTGATGGTTATGGTTTGATTCAAAACAGCTCTCCTCTAAAGTGCTTCCCACATTATCTAAGCCACCCTCTCATCATCTTTTCCCCTTTACAAGCAGACTCTCCCTCTGATGTTGCTCTCTAATCCCTCCCCCTTTAGTCCTTCTCCTTTGCTGCATCTCGTAACATTCAAACAACCTCTCCCCTCCCCCTCCTCTTTCGCAAACCCTCCCTCCGTCTGACCTCCCGGCCATCCCTCTCTCACCTTGTTGAGTGTGATGACCGCCTCTTGGTTCACTCCGCTGATGTTAAAGGTGTCTCCGGACTCCCCCTCCAGGATGGTGTATTCCAGCTTGGCGTTCTCGCCAAGGTCGGCGTCGGTTGCCGAGATACGTCCAATCTCGGCGCCCGGGATGGCCAGCTCGGACACAGAGAAGGACCACATACCTGCAAATTGACACTCGCGTTAGAATCAATCTGGGACTTGATGAGCACTGACGCGTTTCATTTTCTCGTCCAAATACTCCGTTTTCCCCTTTTCGACTGCTTGCAGATTGCCGTCCCTCACCTGGGCTCAGGCAATATTTACAACATTTCCCACAGATAAGGCTGCACTTAATTTAAATCGACTGCGGGGATGAATGGGGAAGATAAAGGAGGGGGGGGGGGTGAGAGTCTGTGTTTGAAGGTTTGAAATGTTATTGAAAGCCAGACAGAAATTGGCCACAAAAGCCTGCTGTAAAAAACGACTGAATTTAAAGGGAGCTGGGATTAAAAAAAAAACAGAAACGGGCGAGATAAAGCAGAAGAACGGAGAGGAGCCGGGCCGTTTCCTTCCCGTTTCCACTTGATGAACTGAGCCAACTGCTCATTACAATCATCTGCTTTTTAGTCCCCGACTTGTCCACTCTTTTTCCTCCTGCTGACAAGTATTCATCACAACGCAGTATCGGGGCTTTTGGAGCGCGCCGCCACCGGGCTAAATCACGCTGGTCTGCTTTCCACGATCAGCCCCATTAAAGCAGCACATTACGCCTCCCTTTGCTGGCTCTGCAACTTACGGCTGACGCACGCACCCTGTGAAAACGTATCAACTACAAGACAACTTCTTTAGGCATTCGAGGCATTCAGGAGGCTAGGGTTTAATCCTGACATCTTACTTTATCTAAGCGCGCGCACACATACGGCTGCCTCGGTGATAATGGTAAGTGTGATTGGGAGAGTTCAAATTGAGAAAACAGGTAAGTTTATCAGAGTTTGACTCGCGCACGGGAACAGAGCAGCTCAGCCAAACAGAGCCGTTATCTGCTAAAGCAAAGGAATCCGATAGGCCTGTAAACACCAGAGGGAACAACATCGCACAAACACTTTGGGCTGATGGAATAAAAGATGGCCAACGCTTCAACAAAGACGGTGTCGGCGTCAGATGAGTTCTGCAAATGTGACAAAAAAACGCAGACTTCTTTTTTTTCTATTGGCATCCCTCCTAGTCTGTTCAAGTTTGCTCTTCTCAGCCCTGTAATCGAGGCTTCATGACTTCAGAAAAATCACATGACCTCAGGTTTGCCTCCCTCGTATCACAGAACAAGCATCCACCGAAGGGAGAGGGTTTTTATGTATTCATCTGCTTCCTTTCATTCGTTCTTTTGTTTCCATTTGTTATGTTTGAGCAAAACACCAATGTGCCAGTGTTTCTCTCTCCCCCTCCCAGGATCCGGGAAAGCCCTCTTAAAATGTTGATGCTGTTTGGGTTGTTCATGCCTTATTTATCCAGTTGACTGTATTTTCTGTCGTTTTGATTTCCGAGCATGAAAGCATGCGTGAAATGTCTCAGGATCTTCGACTCAACGGAGAGAGACTTTTTAATGCACAAAGCTACATTAAGTATGGAATACAGTGTGCATGAGATAAGAAACACAGAGGGTGATGTCAAGCTTCACTTCTGAACGTGCAGTAAAGAAGGTTTTATGAGGTCATTTAACACATAGCCATGATGTTTTCTCAACCTTATCCAAGTCATTATTAATACTTAAATAACCATTCGCCCATTGTTTGTGCAGATTACTGTAGGGGGGGTAGGGCAGGAGCATGTCCCAGTTACTTGGTGAGAGGTGGGGGGCAGCCTGGAGGGGTCACCAGTCCATCACAGGACCACTGGAATAAACTCCCGGCCATTCCTACAATTCAAATTCCCTAATTAACCAACCATGCCTGTTTTTGGACTGAGGCAGGAAGCCTGAGAACCTGGGGACAACTGACACATACACCAGAAGGCCCCCATTTCTATCTAAAAACTTAATATCAAGAAACAGATGGAGAGAGAAGGAAGTCTAAATTAAAAAAAACGGTCTACAGGAAGTAAAAAACAGTTGAAGTTGGACTAAAACGTGAACATGGACATCTGGACCAGGCCTAATTTTCTTTGGAAGAGAGCTTTTAAGTTTTCTTCACTCATCATTTGCCCCTCTAATGAACACTCACATTACAAAAATACTTAAATTTAGGAATGGGAGCTGAACATCTTGTCCATTTGAGTTTTGAATGTATATTGAATTTGTTGTTTATGGCCAATAACACCAGCAGATCATGCAAAGCTGCCACAGAGAACTGTGCTCAGGTAGTTGACAAAAGAGAAAAAAACTGAATCTTGAAAGCCAGCTCATCCTTGGACAGCGGCTGGATCTGATATCATTGCCTGGATAACCATCTATGACCCCCCCCCTCGTGGAGTAATTGTAATTTTGCTGAACATTGCACAGCGAGAAATGAAATAATATTCGGTAGAATATGCAAAGAAATTGAGGTTCTGACACCTTTTTGTTCAATGAGCGGGGGTGGAAATGGCTTTGAGCTGCAGGTGTCACAGCCGGTTGAAAAGTATCAGTTTTCATATATTGAGCCCATTTGATCTGACATTACTTTCATAGAGCTGATATGGACTTATATCAGGTGAAATTGTTCACAAGTCTGTGTCAAAACTCTGAACTCTGAAGGAGTGCTTTGTGATTACAGTATTTTATTAGTGAGTCAACAAAAAATTCAAAAGAAGAAAAAGTGCATTGTATAAGAAAGATTATTACATCCTTTGACTGCCAAATGCAATTTCACCCTCTGATTGTACACTCACCTGTTGATATTTTAAAGTCAGGAACCCGCCTTTACTTTATTTCGAGGTCTGCATTCATGCTACTATAATGGCAACATAATCTGCGTCCTTGTAGAGGAATAAATATCATTTACAATGCCGGAGCTGTGGTCTTAAAGCCAGCCAAACATTTTCCTCCTTTGCTGTGTTGGTGTTCACTGATTATCTCAAGTAAATAGTTGAGTTTATAATTCTTATACAGTTCTTTAGAGTTCCCTCGGCTGGAAAACCCCGACAACATACACTAATCACTGTCAAATATTCAAAGTTATGATAACACCAAACATCGCTAAGTAAGAATCTTCTCAGCCTTAGAAGTCCACCAAACTATTTGTATTAAGTGCACCGTTACAATAAGTCTTCAAATTACATAAAGGGCTAAATGTGATAACCAATACTGTGATGAATATTTGACATCTTTGTTAGCCTTAAGGTTTTTCCCACTGAACTACTTTTTTGTCTTTCCGGATCCTAATTATTTGACAAACACTTGGAAAAGAAATTAAGAAACAACACTGTTGTTGCTGTCTTAAGTGGCAGAAAATGCTCCAAAATCTCAACATACTGGATGGAGTTAAAGTGATTGGGTTGAATTCTTTGATAATCAAGATGTATCAAAATGTGATGTAAAGTGATTGGATTAAATTATTTGCTGATCAAGATTAATCAAACACTTTAAGATTTTTACTGTGGTTCTTTTTAATGAAGCCATCTGTGAACACTCATCATTATTAAGACCCAATTGTGAATATTACTTAAACTTACGTATCTGGGTTTGGTTCTAAAAATCGGTAATATTTCTAATATATGAAGATGCAACAAAAAAAAATTGTTATCATTGTTATCATTCAATGAATGGACAATTTAAACAAAAGCTATGTTTCACAAGTAATTGGTTGACTGTAGACAACCAGAAGATGCCATAAGCTGTCTGTACATGTCTGAACATTCTGTGCTCCATTGTCAAAACAAACTTTCATTATGATTATAATTGTCCGAATTTGCATCTGCCCGCATTGTACACTTTGATGTTCTACCATAACTGATTTTCCAGTAGATTACTATGTATTCTAGCCCTTCGTAGCACCATAATAAGAGGAGTCAGTGTCCTAGCGGTGAACTGGCAAACTGTCAGAGATGTACCTTGCCTCTCGCCTAATAGGAACAAGGATTGGCTGGAGGGTTCAAGGCGATTCTGCATTGGGAGGATTTTTCAGATCAGTGAATCAAACACAATATGTGAGAAAGTTTTTTTTTCAGTTTTTTTTTCTGGATGGATGGATGTGAAGGCATCATTCAGTCCATTGTTGGCCTCTCAACTTCAAATGGCCATGAACTATTTCTACTACCATATGTTTTTTCATAGGCTGCTTTTTAACGAACTCGGATATTTTCTTCCTTATTAATTTTCCTCCTCATTGATTTAGTCCACTCCTAATGAAAAACACCTTCCTCCTCCTCCTCTTCTTCCTCTTGCACAATTTACTTGAGGTGCTCTACTAGATGCCGGCAATGACTGCTTCCCACGCTCGAAACTGTAACGCACACGGGATATAATGGATGCTTTCAAGGTACTTACACTAAATTACAGACCAACAGCTACTCTGAAAAGGTACGAATATAGAGGATCAAGTGTTGTGAAATCACCGTTAGGGCGCTGAGGCCTTTCAGCGCCCCATCCCACAAAAGCCTCACTGCTGCAGATTTGGAACAACCCCTCACAATAGTGCTATTCATTAATGTCATTCATCATTCACACGAACTGCTTTTATGGTACGCTTTTGGGTCAGACTTGTGAACGTCACCTCAATAAGAAAAATATTACGGTCAGTGTTCACTGAACAAAAACCCAGCCAAAATGTGAATATAGAGTGTCAAAAAACTCACTAACCCCTATAATTCAGCAGGTTCCGGCGCTACCATCTGCATGAAGTTTCTCATTCATTCAATTCTCTTGACATCATCACGGTTTACCGTTAGATGTGCAAGACTCATTATTGTCAGCGAAATACTTCATGCAAAGCTCTCTCTAAATGTCTTGTCACAGCATTTTAAGGCGATTGGGGGTCTGGAATGGAGCGGGTCATTATAAGCCAATGATTATTTTCTTTTTCAGACATCGTGCAGTCGATTTGCTGCTGTGTTTTAGATCTTTGTCCCGTTGAGTTCCCAATTTCGAGCTTTGACCGTCTGAACGATGGCCCCACATTTAAGTCCAGAGTACTTTGGTACACAGAGGAATTGATGGTGGACTCAATGACCGCAACATGACCAGGTCCTGTGGCAGCAGCCAATAAGCCCAAATTATCATCCCTCCACTACCGTGTTTAAAAGGTCATGTGGACAGATGATGTGAACGCCTCCATTTTTTGCCTTATTCGAAGGATATTGATCCAGAAATGATCTGGTTTGTTCAGATCTGTTACTGTAAAGAGACTTTCTCCTGAAACCCGAGGAAAGAAAAGATTTGCTTCTTAATTTGCTCCTTAATTTGTTTATATGCATGCTATGATACTACTAAGCTACTATTATACCTTACAATACACTAAGAATTCTCGTTTTGGCTTTTGCCTGATTTGGACTTGTTCCTACTCCAATAATGGATTTTATAAGTAGAAAAAAAAAAAAACAGGCAGTATATCAAACTAAAGAACATTGATCAGAGGCTATTTTAAGGTACTTTGGTGCAGGACATGTGTTATAAATATGATTTTTTTTCACTTCCTGTACTTTGTCTCATTTAATGTTTCTTGTTTTTATCTGCATTAGGGGACAACGGACGGAAATTAGCTACTGTGCTAGTTTCAACATATTTAGGTTCATATTTAGGTTAATTTAAATAGACGGATTAAAAGCAAACTTTAAATTCCAATTATTTTGAGAGGAAAGGTGCCACTTAATATGCTAACACGGGTTTGCAGGGTCTGAGATGTAGCTCTCCTGTCTCTGACTATTTCTTTGAGTGTTGCTCGTTCTGACCTGGTGCTGATATGACATGACAACACAATCCGTGAGCACAAATCTCCCGGGTAAACACACTCAACTCCCGACAGAGTGTGCCCACGCCCACGTGGCCCTTTAGAGCTCTGCCCAGTAAAAAAGGGACAGAGAACGCCGATGAATCAATGCTAAATGCCAGTTTATGTGGCGTGACTACCATGCCTGCCATCTGGGGCTGACACGGCACCAGAAGGCTGAGATGAAGACAATTTGAAAAATAAACAAGCCTGTTGCTAATGAGACAGCAAATTAGCGGAGTTATTTACAAGTGGGAGACTTGGGGGTCTGGGTTGATCTGGATGGATGTGCGGCTCCCGTCATGGACGTCCTTTCCTCACACCGAGAGAGCGACATCTTCCAGCCTTCCTCTGTCCAATACACACTTGTCACATACGAGGAGAGCTCAGGAGAATAGTGACAGAGGGAGTGTGATGCCGGTAAAGTGGGCTAGCCCGAGTCATTATCAGCTTTCTGCTCACACGGGAGAGCAGCTGGCAACACAAGTCATACATCATTTCCACCTGTGATGGACTGGGGGGGAAAAGGGAAAAAGAGAGAAATTCAGCCGGCTGACGGCGGCGGGGAGGGGGGGGGGGGGGGTAGCGAGGAGATGAGGAAATCCTGGCTCATTCCCTGGCTCAAAGAGCAGCGCCGGACGCTCGTAAAATCACACAGTGGATCAAAAGGGAGCAGGAAGAGCCTGTCCTCAGTCTTTGTTCGCACTAGTGAAGCCATTAGATATGGCTATTACAAAACAGCAAGGGCACGCCTGTTCGGCTGGTAATATCTCCCTAATAAAGGCGTTTCCCCAATGAGATGACGATTGTCAGGGAGAGGAGATGGAAAACCCTCCCCCCCTCCCCCCCCCCGTGCCTGAGCACAGCTCCACTAGAAAATGAGAATGTCTTTTTTGTCTCTTTGACGCTGCACTGACTCCCTGTGACAGTTTTTTTTCAAAGTGCGGTTTCGCGAGAGGGAGACTTCAATTGGCCGGGGACAGGCAGATTTTCACAGGTGATTGGATGAATCGGGGGCCGCGCTGACAAGAGGATTAGCTGGGAGCGAGGCAGAGTGACAGGTGGCGAGTGTTAATTAGGCAGGCTGCGGTTTAATACAGGTTTAAAGGTGCAGAAGAAGAGCTTAAATTGACAAACCACTGGATGAAGAGACGCGGGGAGAATGGAATCATTCCCGAGGAGTGTGGGGCGATAATAAAAGGACAGAAATGTAAAACGAAAGAGCCAACACGAGGAGAAAGAAGAGGAGAGAAGAGGGTGAGGAGCCAGCAGGGAGCAGCTTTTTGAAGACGAGGGCAAACCTGGGCCTGCGATCTGAAAGCACTCAATACGAGAGACTGGAGGGGGGGTTTGCAAGCGAAACGAGTGGGAATGAAAAAAGAAATAAGAGGATGCAACGCTGGCACATGGTATCGGGGCCAGAGGAGGCGTGTTTTCCTGCGACGGCCGGCCGTGGAGGAGAGCCCGGCGTTAGTGAAGTCATTAAAAAAATGTCGAGCTGGCTGCAGCACACACTGGTGGAGAAAATAGCCTGAATAAAATCTGCATCCATTTGGAGAGAGGCCATCTCACAGGCACTTATATACCCGAAAGGGCTTAAGGGAAAAGGCCAGAGACACGGCGGAGATGATCAAGGCGGCAACAGTGGGATTTAAGCATCATCACCAGACGGTTAGAGGGAATGATATCTGAGGCAGAGATGGAGAGATGAGAACGCCACCGTAAATGCTGCCGAGGCCGTTTTTTTTTTTTCTTGCCTCTCTCTTCAAAGCCACCGCGGGGTTAAATGAAGCTGAATGCAGTAAAACTGAAAATGTTGCCTTCTAGCTCATTTCTAACGGGGTTAATAATGAAATAGAGGGAGAGATCCGTGCCTTTACAAGCTTCGGGGCAAAGCCGTATAAAGAACAGCACGCTGCCTTCCAACTTGTCGTGTGCAGAGGTAGGCCATTAGCCATTAGCCGAGCTTTTTCCTCATGTCATACGGGAGTGGGAGGAAAATGCGGGGCGTGCCTGGATGTGTGTGTGTGTATGTGTGTGTGTCCATTAGCCCATTACAATGCGAACAGTTGAGTTTGCACGCAAGCGTGGGCAGGCTCGGGGGCCAAAGCACAACCAGCACCTAACACTGTCCCCTCCACCCGCCCGCCTCATCCCAGAATCAATGCCTCTTTCTCTGGGAGAAGGCTAAAAAGTTTAATGCCAATTCAAACACGGAGCTTTTTTTACAGCAGCTTCTTTTAGGTATCTGTTTAAAGTTCTAACACTGCTTTCATTTCGGATGAATTCCAGCTGTAAACTTATGAAACGATAGCAAGTGCCCAGGATATCAAGTGGCTAAAAAGCTTTACATCGAGTGCCTCTCAAGTGGCCTGACAGGAATGATAAAGGGACAAAGTGGTTGAATGACTGACGGATGTGAGAAAAGGGAAAGCAGAGTTTGCAACTACTTAGAAGTGGTTTCACCGGCTGATGACATTTGCCTCTACCTTGTGACAGGGGAGAGGAATGAGAGAAACGGCGGCTAAAGAGAAAGAAAATGCGACACGGGGTTGAAAGCGAATGAAAGGAAGGCTGTGAGAGATGTGACGGAGAGCAATGTTTTCAGCAGTGATTTTACCGTCTACTGAAGCAGAAAGCACTGAACTTTAGATGAAATATTAATACACAGCAAGAGAAACAGAGGGATAGAGAAAATAAAAGGATAAAAAGCAGGCTGGTATTAGCTACCTCCATTTTAATTAGTTTCTCCTTTCATTCCATTTCCTCCATCACTTATTTGGTTCTCTGCAGATGCAAAACTTAATTAGAGAATAACAATTATTGGAAATTATTGCCTATTACTTAACTGTTTAGGTTATCAGAGAAATCATTATTACTCTCTGCAACTACAACCGAGCGCTAACACCAGATGGAATTAGTCCTCATCGCTTTTTTTGGACCCAAACCTTTGATGCTTCGAAAGAATGGGCAGCTGAGGAATAGACTAATCCAATATCCAGGGGTCGGGTTTAATTAACGAAAGGTGTGCAAGCCCGGAGGCAGGCCGCACACTGGACATGGATTCGTTTAAATGAGGGATTCCTCCGCTCAAGGCAAAAAGCAGCAATTTGGGAGGTTTCTAAGAGGGAGAAGACCATAGACCAGAATTCAACTACACGTATTGTAAAAGAGAAAAAAATAACCTTACTCATTCTCAAAGGGAAACTGATGTTGCCGTATAATAATGAATGATCACATTATTTAAGAAACAGTAATTTACTGTGGAAGAGGAAGGCAATAATCACCTCCATTGCCTTCTTGCAGCAGAGCTGAAGACACCTCTGCCTGAAGGTGTCCTGCTGCTTAAACATGCGAAGATTAATAACTTGTGCATCATTCTTCTACGCTTAACTAATGAGTCATCGGCGTAGTCATCCCTCTTCATCTGTTTGCTCGCTCACTCTGAGTCACTGGCTCAGAGTCAGAGGAACATGAACACAATTGGCCTCTCAACTGTGTAAACCGTGTCTGACCTGTCAAAGATTAAAATGACACGACTCACAAGCTGTTCGCGGTCTGAGCTGGCCAACACACGTGCATGACTGACTGGCACCTCCCCAAACGTGATATAATCTCAGATACCAGGGAAGTAGATCCATTTTCCCTCTTCTGGATGTCCACTCCGATTTTGAGGTTTAGTACTGAACTTGAACACCTCACAGTGTTGCCCTTTGTCAACACTTTCGGCCACACTTGACGGCCACCTTATTTCCTTCGTACTAATAACTGGAAATGTGTCGGATTGACATTTTGTCGCTCAACATAACGCAACGGTGAGAGTGCTGTCCCCTGCGGAGGCTTCTGTGCAGCTAACAGGCACCTCAAACACACAACCTACGAGTCTGACACACTGGGCCGTGTATGCTGTAGTCAATAATCCACTCACGGATCTCACACAGCACCCCTAAAAATCGCACAGGTTACGGATCTAGAGACTGGAAACACACCCAACTGCACAGCTTCCAAATTATTTGTTAAACCTTATGTGCCGATTTTCAACAAAAGGATCTACTCTCATATGAGACTTCTAAAGAATCATCAAGACTGTCAGGGCGTTTCACACTTATGAAACAACCTTTTTGATACGAAGTAGGGAGTTCCTGTGTAGGAATAGCAAATGGCAAACAAATAATAAAGGAACCACAGTCATTCCGACCAGCATGTTTTCACAGATGTGTGTGCCTTCCCAAAGCCAGTTCGTCTTAGTTGTATTACCTTTCTTTATTGTTTCATAAGGGCGACACGCGACTAAAATCTGTCTTTTATTGTGCTCGACTCAGTGATCCTTCTATGTGCCTTTTCAGATGATTTCTCTTGGTTATGTCACATGGAGCTCTACGGGGGACGTTTTTTCCGTGACGCTGAACTGAGGAGCAGAGAAAACCATGCAGACGGCATCGTTTGAGGTGCTTTTTATAATAAAATTGCGGCAGTGGAGGGGGTTATGAAGTTGATCGTTTTTATTGCCGGGAGGCGCACACCTCGGCTAAAACACCTCCATGTACATCCCAACAAGGCTGGGAGTGGTAGAGCTTTGGCAATCCTCCAAAATGTTCGGTGACAATAAAAGCTAAGAAGTGGTTGCTACCTATGAAACAGTTGCTGCTAACAGAGGGAGTTAAATGGGCAAAAGATACAGAGATAGACTTTCAGACTGCGTGAAATAAAAGGATCAATGTATTTGCAACAGTCTGAGTAGCAGATTAGCCCTTCCCCTCTCAGCCGTTTAGTGTTTTTTATGCAAAGCAGTTTGCTCTGCATTCATGCACTCTGTTCAAATGAGCCTGCTGAGGATTTAACTCATAATTGCAAGTGCAGCAGTTGCAACGTGCTAAACCCCGCGGGAGCCTTCGAACATTTCTGAAAAACAATGACTGTGCAGGTGCTAAGCTGTGGCAACATTAGCAGAGGGAGAAACACTACAGTCACAAAATCTGTGCTGCAGAGACACACTTTCATTGGAAACCTGGAATCTGGGGCTTTTTTTTTTGTTCTTTTTACACCATTTCAAGTTCAAACAGTGGACAGTTAGAGTAGTAGTTACTGATTTTCTTCCCTCTTTTCGCATTCTCATGTAAGACTTGTTCATTCACATCAAACAGCAACCTGTCACCCAGAAACATGTTTAAACAGCTGGAGGCAGCGGAGTCCCACAAGGCTCTGGAGGGGCCATATTGACACTATGTTTGTCTCCCAGCATCCTCCAGGTTGGATACCTGTATTCATAAGCAACCTATTTAGTACGGTTAGGTCTCCGTACGATTTACAACGACGTGTCCTCGGGCGAGACAGTTG